CGTGTGTAAATATAATGGAAACACGTTACGATGACTGACGTGTGTAAATGTAATGGAAACACGTTACGATGACTGACGTGTGTAAATGTAATGGAAACACGTTACGATGACTGACGTGTGTAAAAATAATGGAAACACGTTACGATGACTGACGTGTGTAAATGTAATGGAAACACGTTACGATGACTGACGTGTGTAATGTAATGGAAACACGTTACAATGACTGACGTGTGTAAATATAATGGAAACACGTTACGATGACTGTCGTGTGTAATGTAATGGAAACACGTTACGATGACTGATAGCCATAAAACCATTGATTACGCCAAACTCTCGATTGACTGTGAGATTTGTGGTAGCACGTGGCTATGACTGTTATACAACTTATTAGTTTGATCATCAATATTCAAGAGATTTCTCAGCCAGGGGGCGTTTCTAAAATTACTATGTTTTCTTTCAAAACACGACAATTTTTTGGAATAATTTTATATGTTGTGACAAATTCATTAGTTTCAAGGGCTCCAACACGGAATTTAAAACAACACAATTGCCTAAATGTCTAGCTAAGAAGGTGAAAAAAAATGTCATGACTTTATTCGATAAAAATGAGTGAAGATTTGTACTGATCTACAAACAAATCTCTCTTCTGGTTAGTAGAGAAACGGCCATCTTGTTCGCAAACAGACTCTAGTTTTATTGTTATCAATCTGTACCGAAATATCTCGCTGCACGTGCGCACCTATCACACACCTGCTGTTAGCATGGGAAACTATTCGGACTAGCATCACACCTGCTGCTAACAAGGACGACTATTCGGACTGGCAATATGCACCGTTTAGAGGTAGAACATGGCTTGGGACTCGTTCTATTAGGATTTTTATATGTATTTCTACATGTGCATCTTGACCCCAAGTTCGAACCCCGTTCATCAATAATCATCCGCAAAATGTCACCAGTGAACACCACGTCATCTAAAACAGAACAGGCGTTCTCTAGAGATATGTTGAAACACATTCGCCCTCTTGCGTAAGTAAAAACGTTTCTTGAAATAATCTCTATTCCTCAGTATTAAAGCAGAAGACGGGTTGTTTCCTGTTCGTTTGTCAGAGTTTAACTTAATAAAAAAGTGAAATAAGCAACGATAAATATGTGAATGAAGTTTCCAAACAACTGTTCATATTTAAAACAAAACATCACATTAGGAAAAACAGAATTTTATACAATGCTATAGATCAGATTATTTTGATCTATAAGATTGAAGAGATTCAGTACTCACGAAGTCTACCTTAAACCATATGTTTGAAGAAACCTAATTCGTTTTCGTTATATCTATGAAGAGAAAGAGAGAGATATATAGTATAGGTTTAAAGGAGTTTAACACCTTTCATTTCTACCTAGGGAGAAAGGTATATCCTATATGTTTAAAGGAGTTTAACACCTCTCATTTCTACCTAGGAAGAAAGATATATATACTATAGGTTTAATGGAGTTTAACACCTTTCATTTCTACCTAGGAAGAAAGATATATACTATAGGTTTAAAGGAATTAAATACCTTTCATTTCTACCTAGGAAGAAAGATATATATACTATAGGTTTAAAGGAGTTTAACACCTTTCATTTCTACCTAGGAAGAAAGATATATATACTATAGGTTTAAAGGAATTAAACACCTTTCATTTCTACCTAGGAAGAAAGATATATACTATAGGTTTAAAGGAGTTTAACACCTCTCATTTCTACCTAGGAAGAAAGATATATATACTATAGGTTTAAAGGAATTAAACACCTTTCATTTCTACCTAGGAAGAAAGATATATACTATATGTTTAAAGGAGTTTAACACCTTTCATTTCTACCTAGGAATAAAGATATATATACTATAGGTTTAAAGGAGTTTAACACCTTTCATTTCTACCTAGGAAGAAAGATATATATACTATAGGTTTAAAGGAATTAACACCTTTCATTTCTACCTAGGAAGAAAGATATATACTATAGGTTTAAAGGAGTTTAACACCTTTCATTTCTACCTAGGAAGAAAGATATATACTATAGGTTTAAAGGAGTTTAACACCTGTCATTTCTACCTAGGAAGAAAGATATATATACTATAGGTTTAAAGGAGTTTAACACCTTTCATTTCTACCTAGGAAGAAAGATATATACTATAGGTTTAAAGGAGTTTAACATCTTTCATTTCTACCTAGGAAGAGGGATATATTCTATATGTTTAAAGGAGTTTAACACCTTTCATTTCTACCTAGGAAGAGGGATATATTCTATAGGTTTAAAGGAATTAAACACCTTTCATTTCTACCTAGGAAAAAAGATATATATCCTATATGTTTAAAGGAGTTTAACACCTTTCATTTCTACCTAGGAAGAGGGATATATTCTATATGTTTAAAGGAGTTTAACACCTTTCATTTCTACCTAGGAAGAAAGATATATACTATAGGTTTAAAGGAATTAAACACCTTTCATTTCTACCTAGGAAGGGAATTAATGTATACGTTTGAATGGGTTTGTTTGTTGTGAAGCGCAAAACTACATATTGAGCTATCTTTGCTGTACCCACCACACGTATCGAAACCCAATTTTCAGAGTTAATAACTACCTCACTGTTACTGTTGAATCAACAGAGTCTGTTTGAAAGCTACATTTAAAACTGATTCACTCTTGGTTCTGTTAAATAAAGCTCCTCAAGCACTTTTGAGACAAATTCTTATAGTTCTATAATAAATCATGCAACATAATGATTTTGAAAAGACAAAACACATGAACTACTGAAAATATTTTTTTTGACAGAGAAACATGTTAGAATATTTATAGTGATGTGTTGCAGCAACAATAATCAAGTCTCCTTCTTACAGTAGAAACTCTGTAGTGTTGGCAACTAGTGTATGTGGTAATCGAGTGAAAGAAGCGCTGGTGATGCTGAAATCCGCCATTGCTCTGTCTCGACAGAAGCTCCATCTAGTGCTAATGACAGAAGACGAAATAATTCCGAAATTACGAGACCCGGTAAGGCAGGAAGCGAAAAGCCTGATACTCTACTAACGTTAGCACTTCTGTACTGAAAGATTTGTTTCGTTCCGCCAATAAAGAGTATAAAATACAAGTTGACAGTTTTAAATTAATTACACAGAAATGTAATTTAAGCCTCTAAATTACCAATTTAAAGGTTTACTGAAAGAAAAGTAATTGTAGCCAAATGATTCAAAGCTTTATTTTCTAGAGTTTCGTCTTTTGATACTTTCGTTTTCGTCCAATGTTTCAACCGATAGACTCATGTACATTTTTCGGCTGATCCCTGATTATACGTAAAAATAAATCTCAAAAAATCGAAAACTTCATCTCAGTTGTGGAACTTTACATTAAACCTAACTTTTAATAGTCACATCTATAACAACACATTGATGAGACGACAGCGAAATCCCGAAACTCACTTAACAATAAAACAAGTCGTATTAACTATTTCATGAAAGAAAGGAACTGGTTTATTATATCAACAACAAAAGAACCAATTTTTATTGAGAATTTAATGAAAGAAAATAGCTTTTGTTATTATATTAAAATTTAAAAATAAAAATGTCAAGTCGTATTAACATTTTAATGAAAGAAATGAACTGGGTTATTACATTAACAATAACAGTGCCAAGTCGTATTAACAGTTTAATGAAAGAAAGTAACTGGGTTATTACATGAACAATAACAGTGCCAAGTGGTATTAACAGTTTAATGAAAGAAAGGAACTGGGTTATTACATTAACAATAACAGTGCCAAGTCGTATTAACAGTTTAATGAAAGAAAGGAACTGAGTTATTACATGAACAATAACAGTGCCAAGTGGAATTGGCACTTTTATTGTTAATGTTATAACTCAGTTCCTTTCTTTCATTAAACTGTTAATACGACTTAGCACTGTTATTGTTAATGTAATAACCCAGTTCCTTTCTTTCATTAAACTGTTAATAGGCACTGTTATTGTTATGTAATAACCCAGTTCCTTTCTTTCATTAAACTGTTAATACGACTTAGCACTGTTATTGTTCATGTAATAACTCAGTTCCTTTCTTTCATTAAACTGTTAATACGACTTGGCACTGTTATTGTTCATGTAATAACTCAGTTCCTTTCTTTCATTAAACTGTTAATACGTTTCTTTCATTAAACTGTTAATACGACTTGGAACTGAGTTATTACTTTAACAATAACAGTGCCAAGTCGTATTAACAGTTTAATGAAAGAAAGTAACTGGGTTATATTCTCCAAGAGGTTGAGTACGTTATATTGAAACGATGCTGGAACCTCATAACGTCGTTGCAGTTCATATCGTGATATTTAATCGTGCTCTATCTGACAGCTGTGTATCTTGACAATAGACTGTAGTATAATTTCTATTTCAAAAGGCCCCATCGTAAAGTCGTCATGTCCAAAACATAGTACTACTCCTTGTGCTTTCCATAGACCATATAGTGTATGACGACGACGGTTTTCTAGCGTCATTTTTAACAGTTCAACCATACAGAAATCCACAAACTATTATGTCTGGTGACTTGACCAGTATGTCATTGTATGGAATATCCATTCCGCAGCTACTAGTGATGTAACACTAGGTATGAGTGATAAAGTAAGGGTCACTAAAATAAGACGTTTCCAGACGGAGATTCTTCCGGATTATGATGTGTAATGTTGTCTGGAATAGTCTTATTTTAGTGACCTCTTACTTTGTTTCCAGACGGAGATTCTTCTGGATTATGATGTGTAATGTTGTCTGGAATACGTAGATGGTTTTTGCCACTGACCTTTGTGTTCGTAGATTCCCACCTGCTAGGAGACTCCATCTTTTGCTTACCATGGCTGGTGTACGACTTGTTGCAGGTCTATTTCTAGCTGGTCTTGTTTTCACAGTTGATTCATATTCCTATGTTTTCCAGTTTCATTAAGTACAAGGGATATACCAATCCTGGAAATTCTAAATCACCGTTCTGAACAAATCTTCATAAGCTGAGTGTACAAAGGTTATAAGTGGAAAGAGTTGTTACAAAATCACCCCAAAAGCGATAACTTTTCGGTTGTGTCACATTACCAACAATGACGAAATGTAGTTCTGATACATGTCGTTTTGCAGCGACTTTATATAGACTGTGACTGTCACACAATTTGCCGATTTACGTATTCAAAATCATTTTAATACAACGTATCTAATCTACTGCAGTATAAAAGATTTTGGAAAAAAAGGAACATTTTTAAAAACTTTCACGAAGTTCACTTTTAAACTGCTGTCACCTGATCTTTTTTCTTTTTTAATCTTACTAGTTTGAAATGAATTTTGATTGTTTTAGTCTAATGTTAGACTTATCGCGTGAACAGATGAAACTTATCGTAAAGAGGCTAAAAAGATATAGCTTACAATAAGCCTAAAAATAGATAAAATTGATTGATTATTCTTTTTAGCTGAACATATATTTCAAAACTACTTATCTGAGGTATACTATCAGTAAAAACATTTTAAGAGATGTTTTATTTATCTTCTTTGCATCATAGATGCTAGGATGGCCCCCCACCTTCATGAACAGAGTTAGTGTGGAGTTCCACCCGATTTCTTACCCGGACTATGTGAACCAGACTGAATGGAGAGGATTGTATCGTCTCTGTTCTACTCACAAGTTGTTCATAGCTGTACGTGTTCACCATATTCATGTAATCAACTGTTACTTGTGTTAAATATGCTACTTCGTGGTGACACCTTCGATCTATCTATATGTATGTTTTGTATGACTTATCTCGCATAAAATAAGAAAATGTATATCTTTCTAAAGTCAAGATTTTATTCATACCAAATGCTTCATTGGTTATAGGATATCTTACGTCACATCGATGCTGTAATTCTATTGGACACCGATGTCCTTTTTCTTCGACCACCAGAGGAATTTTGGGAACACTTTTCACGAATGAACAAGCGGCAGATGATGGGTTTAACAGTAGAGACAGAACTACCTGGCCAGGGCTGGTATCCACGTCATGTCAGAGGGTTTCCGATTTATCGAGATCAAGGTGATCCATGTAGATCAGTTTAATGTTATATCATAGATATAGCTCAGTTTAATGTCATACCATAGGTATACCTCAGTTTAGTGTTATATCACAGATAAGATCAGTTTAGTGTTATACCATAGGTATACCTCAGTTTAATGTCATATCACGGATAATATTAGTTTACTGTTATATCACAGATAATATTAGTTTAGTCTTATATCACAGATAAGATTAGTTTAGTGTTATATCACAGATAAGATTAGTTTAGTGTTATATCACAGATAATATTAGTTTCGTGTTATATCACAGATAAGATTAGTTTAGTGTTATATCACAGATAAGATTAGTTTACTGTTATATCACAGCTAAGATTAGTTTAGTGTTATATCACAGATAAGATTAGTTTACTGTTATATCACAGATAATATTAGTTTAGTGTTATATCACAGATAAGATTAGTTTAGTGTTATATTACAGATAAGATTAGTTTAGTGTTATATCACAGCTAAGATTAGTTTAGTATTATATCACAGGTAAGATTAGTTTAGTGTTATATCACAGATAAGATTAGTTTAGTGTTATATCACAGATAAGATTAGTTTACTGTTATATCACAGATAATATTAGTTTAGTGTTATATCACAGATAAGATTAGTTTGAGTGGATGTCACAGATAAGATTAGTTTGAGTGGATGTCGCAGTTAAAGATCAGTTTAGTGAACGAAACGGATAAATGTCAGTCTAACACGATAGCCCTGATAATATACTATTAGGCATATATCATAGTTAAAGACCAGTTTTATTGAACGAAACAGATAAATGTCAGTCTAACACGATAGCCCTGATAATATACTATTAGGCATATATCATAGTTAAAGACCAGTTTAGTTGTATATCCTAGATAAGATCAAATTAGATGTATATCACAGTTATAGGTCGGTTTAGTTTGATATATCCAGATAAACCAAAGTTTTTTCTGATATCCCAAACATGTATTAGTTTAGTGCGATGTCAAAGATATACATCAACTTGGTGTGATGACATTGATGATATAGATCAGTTTAGTGTTATATCACAGGAAAAGATCAGTTTAATGTTATATCACAGGTAATATCGGTTTAATGTTATATCACAGTGTTTACATGGAACACTTTTTATCAGGTATATCATTGTGTTATATCAGTTTAGTGTTATATCACAGAGTTTATATGGAACACTTTTTATTAGGTATATCCCAAGTAATATCAGTTTAGTGTTATATCACAGTGTTAGACATTTTTTATCAGGTATATCACAGTGTTATATCAGTTTATTGTTATATCGCACATAATATCAGTTTATTGTTATATCACACATAATATCTGTTTAGTGTTATATCACAGTGTTATATCAGTTTATTGTTATATCGCACATAATATCAGTTTATTGTTATATCACACATAATATCTGTTTAGTGTTATATCACATGTAATATCAGTTTATTGTTATATCACACATAATATCAGTTTATTGTTATATCGCACATAATATCAGTTTATTGTTATGTCACACATAATATCTGTTTAGTGTTATATCGCACATAATATCAGTTTATTGTTATATCACACATAATATCAGTTTATTGTTATATCACACAT